CAGAGTGCAGCAGTCAGTCTTCTCCTGAACACCTTGCATAGAAACACGTAGATAAGCGGGTCTAGGCATACATTTGTTGCTGAAAGCCACAGGGTGGTTTCCTTGGCAAAGTAGACGGCATTCTGAGCCTTGCAGTCACTTGTTACGCTCCGTGTTTGGGTGAGGGTATAGGGAACCCGGACGAAGTGAAATGGTGCAAAGCAGATGAAAAACACACCCACTACAACGAAGACTTTCGCTTTGGTTTTGCGACTGGCACCCCGAGATCTACTCTTTGAGGCTTTGTATGACTCATAAACCTTCTTGCTGATGAATGTGTAGCAGACTACCATCAAAGCAAGCGTCCCCCAAAAAATAACCTAGAAAAACAAAACAAGAAAAAGGGAAATCAGAGGAGCACCTCGCAGCTTTTCTCCAATTAATTTAGGTCAGCAGTAGCAGTAAGATTCTAATAACTGCAGAAGGACATCGTGTATTCTGTGTAAATTAGCTGATTGTGTAGTTCAGATATATTAATAGCAACACTTCTCTATTGTGCGAAATTTGCTTACACACATGCTTATGAGTAACATTAAAAAGCTGACAGCAGTGGCATCTGTGGGATACATTTAAAGGAGAACAGCTGGTTCTGAAATTTTATGGAAGGAGATTGAATATGAATGTTTACGTAAATTTCAAAGTGTTTCCTTAATTCATAGCTACCTGACAGAAGTAGTTGAAACCTTCATGCCACAGCAAACCAGCCGGGCTCTTCATGGACATGCACTTCAGTCTGTTTCCAGACGGCCGTGGCGGCTTGTCACTTAGAATAACGTTGGGTAACGCTAATGATAGCATTACCACCCAAACAGCTACACTTAGTATCTGACCAACACGGACCCGCTGAAGGGCACACTTCCCAAAGGGCCTGACAATCTTCAGGTAACGGTCCAAGCTAATGAGACCCAGCAAGAGGATGCTGATGTACATGGTGATGTAGAAGAGCACCGCAGAGTATCTGCAGTGGAAGGCGCGTAGCTGCCAGGAACCCACACCTGCATCCGTTAAGATTTTCAGAGGGATGGTCAGAGTCATGAGCAAGTCAGCCACCACCTGTTGTTGAGCAAATTTTAACCTTGTTATTGTAATGCTGTTTTTTGTTGTTGTTGTTTCCTTACTTTGCAGCGGAGAGTAAACCTACAAAGCAAAAGCCTTGGTGTCTTACCACATTTTTTAGGAAGACCAGAAATGTTGAAGTGCTTCGGATACTGAAGAAGATCCATGCAGCGAGGGAGTTCAGTATCAGAGCAACTATGAAGAGGACACTGTATAGGCAGGGGAAAACCACAGCTGTTATGCTGGTATCCCGAACACACTTGAAGGAGGTGGTGTTGGACAGGGTGTTGTTCATACTGTGATCCTTAGTTGGCTTTTGACAGGGGGAGAGAGTGAAAAAAAAAGATGACAGAGACATCATAAGAAATGATAAAACACTGAATATGCTGTTTCTACAATTAATATGAGATAATTATAGCATTATTGTGTCTATCTCACAAAAGTCCCTAAGAAAATGTAGCTGAAGTACTTTATTATTAGAATTACTTACATGACAGATGTTTATTCATTTATATGACAAGAGTTACAAAAAAATTGACAACAGGAATTATCAGATCATTTTGAATGTTACAGCTGCTTCCTACCCTCTACTTAAAAATACCAATACTTTGTTTGTTGTAGTCATGTAGATACAGACTTAATATATACTTTAAATGCACAGTCTGAGCTTCTGTTCATTCTATATTCCCTATGTCCTCTCTTCTTTTTGCTCTGAAGAATAGCACTGAGGTTATACACATGGACTATGGCAACTAATACACACTGCTTTCAAACCTTTGTCTGGTTTAGTGTGCACTCAAATGTTAATTAGATTTTCTGCAAGTTACATTGTTAGGCAAATTAAGTATTTGTGCCCAGTTTCACAAAGTAATTTATCTGCAAGATGTACATGACAAGCCAGTAATTGAGTCTTACCTTCTTTTTGTGTCTTTATCGTCTGTTTAGGTGGGGCATGAGAAGAATAATGACAAAATGCAACGGAAAATACAATGTTTCATAAAAAGGAAGAAGTGAAATAGCAAATTCCTCTTTTTTCTTCTTAGCCACAGGAAATAATGAAGGAAAATAAAAAAATAAATAAAACTGAAAACCTCCTGCTGTTATTTTAGTTCTTTAATCAGTCCAGGAATACTGGTTCTGGCTTGAGTCTTGAATCTTTATGTCTTTCTTGGTATTTACTCCCCTTCAGACTCTCTCTTTTTAAGTGTTTTTGTGTGTGTGTGTTTGATGCTCTTACAATGGGTGGTCCCTGGAGCTAATGTGTGGCTGTCTTGTCACAATCCCAATGAGTTTGCCAGTCTTCCTCCGGGTGAAAGACCCTTTCCTTCCTTGCTTCCTGTTCCAATTGTCTGCTGAGAGGCTTGCTCTACTCCGTGCCAGTCCCTCTGCCTCCGCTAGCTTGCGTCAGACTTAGTAGCTGTTAAGAGGCGAACACCACAGCCACAGACTTATTTGCAGACCTCTTGCACCCTACAGCTCTTCGCTCCACCTCGCAACTAATGTTCAATACTTACGCCTTGTTTCAAAAAGTCTCCACCAGCTGTGGTTTTAGTGGGCAACAGTAACATGCAAAGCTTGCACATTGCTCTGACTGACTTCACTTGAAAGCAAGCAAGCTCTACCATGATGCATTAATGTAAAAAAAATTGGGAAGAAAATGATATTATTATAAATTGCCCCTGTTTGAAATAGCGTGTATTTTCTGTAAATAGCATCAAATTACAACAACAACTGACTGATTGACCATCCCCTTCCACTCTCACTTTCTTGTTAAAAATAGGACATTCTGAGAACATTGCAAAAATAACTTCCTGTGGGATTTTGTTTGGATTTGAACCAAGAATTATGACAGCTGCAAAAGCAAGTTGAGAAATGTTTCTATTACAAGTCTCCAAATGATGTTGTTGCTTAACACACATCACACATGTAGATACATATCATGACAGATAAACACAATATAATTCCATGAACCAACAGTCAGTTTGGCACACACAAAGAAAAATATATAAGTAAAAGCTCAGTGAGATCAGATGGAATATACAGACATATATTTTAGCAGATTAATAATTAGTAAGCAATGCAGTAGGACATAAACTTGTTGCATACATGCTTAACATCATACAAAAATGTATTTTAGACAAACTCTTTATTGCCATGAACCTTATTTACTTTAACCACAGTCATTACAAAACATCTACATGAAAGACAGATGATTTGCATGATAATTGCGTTGTCTCCATTCGCCTTCTGATTAAAGTGCTACCTTTACATAAAATATGCATGAAAATACCACTTCACTCTGTTGCGTTTCATGTTACAGTTTTTCAAACTCTTCATGTGGTACATTTAGTACTAAAAGGACAATTTTACACGATTTAAAAGAGTAAATAATGCAATTAAATGTTAATAAATACAGGAATAATTAAGTTCACTACAGCAATAACATCTGAGCCGATCTAATCGGGGATACTTTTTCGTAAGATCTATCAGAATTTAGTCTGTTGCAAAGTGGTGTCTGGTTTGTCTGGTGCTGAAGCCAATTTAAGTGAGATGGCAACACCTCCCATCAAAGATACCAGTTTGTCTTTGAACTCTCTGCACAGAAAGACATAGAGAAGTGGATCTATGCACGTGTTTGTGGTGGCAAGCCAAAGGCTGGCATCTTTGGCAAACTTGCTCAGTTCAAACAAGCAGGAATTACTGGCATAGTTGACTTGCTGAAACGTGTATGGGATCCTGACTATGTGATATGGTCCAAACGCCACAAAAAAGACAATAATAACAAGAAAAACGCGTAGTTTGATTTTCTGCTTTCCATGGTTGTTATTGCTGCCGGAGTTTCGAAATGACTCGATGACTTTGTTTGTGATGCAGATGTAGCAAACCACAATGACCAAACTGACAATCCAGAAGAAAATATTGGCAAAAATCACTGTTTTTGTATGATACACAACTCCTTCTGTTCCTTTCATTTGCACGCAAGTGATGGCCTGTGTCGAGTTGGGTGATTTATTAGTTAAAATTATATTTGGTAAACCTGAGACTCCAAATATTGTTATCCAGACTAAGCCTGCTATCACTTTGCTAAATGCCACATTCTGGCCAAAGTTTACGTGGGGTGTCATGATTTTGAAGAAACGGTCTACACTGATTAAACCCAACAAACCAATACATATGTACATTAGACTGTACATAACGACGCTGAAATAACGACATGACAGTTTGAATATAATTTGTGATGCACCCGACAAGTCAGATGCAATTTTGAATGGGACGATCAAGGTTATTAAAGTGTCAGCAGCAATCAGATTTTTCAAATACACCACAAAGGTGGTGGTGGACTTAAGGTGTAGGGACACCCAGGCTGCTACACCATTCAGCAACAAGGCTAAAGGGAACATCAGATAGTAGAGGGCTGGGATAACATTTGGGTTGTAAGTGAAACTCTGGCACTTTGAATCATTTTGAGCTGTCTCAGTTGGCATCGCTCCACCTAGAGAAGGAAAACATGGTTTAAACGGCCATAGTTCCAGAAAAGAAAATCCATATATAGTCTGTTTAGTAACGTATGTATTTTAAACAGATTGTTCCTTGAATGCATTCAACTTGAATGGACATGAAACACTACATGTATCATTGCTACTATGAAACAAAAAAACTGTTATAGATTTAAAACTGTCTGTTGGATTTAAGTGCTTAAAGTGAAAGCTTTCAGGACGTGTTTAGTGCCAGTTTGTGCCAGTACAGAAAGTGACATCACTGGTTAGTTAGTTGTTTAGTTGCTGCTAAGACACTTAAATAGGTTTATGTAAGTTAACTAGTGACAGGTCCAATAACTGAGTGAAAAACAAGGAAACTGGAACTGATAAGCAGTGTAAGGAGGTCAAATTTATGCTGCCCTTGACTGCAGCAATAAGTTTTATATTTATATATAAAAGTCCACTTTCACTGTCTGTCTCTTGAGCATTAATTGTTTTTTCATTGCTAGCTAGCTGCACTAAAATGGGAAAATCCACCGGTTAACCATGATGTTATGGTTTATAGAGCATTTATAAATGAGGATTGTGTCGATGAGAGCCAAGCTGGAGTCTGACATTCAGTTGGCTTAGTATACAGAAGCATCTGTGCCGAGTATGGCCTGGAAACCTCAAGGTCAAAATAGGAGACACGCCTAGGGCGGTGGAGAATGACCCAGCTAAGATTCTGTGGGACTGCCAGATACAGACAGACTAAATAGTGGTGGCTAACCAACCAGACATGATAGTGGTAGGCAGGCAGCAGAAGACAGCCGTAGTGATCGACGTAGTGTACCAAATAACAGCAACATCAGGAAAAAGGGAAACGAGAAGCTGAAGAAACACCAAGGGATCAGAGAAGAGCTTGAGAAGATGTGAGGGTGAAGGTAACAGTGGTCCCAGTGGTAATCGGAGCACTCAGTGCAGTGACTCCCAAGCTAGGCGAGTGGCTCCAGCAGATCCCAGGAACAACATCGGAGATCTCTGTCCATATTAGCGCAGTCCTAGGAACAGCTAATATACTGCACAGGATCCTCAAGCTCCCAGGCCTCTGGTAGAAGACCGGAGCGTGAAGGATATACCGCGAGAGGGGAATTTTGTTTATATAAAATAGTCTTTTCCCAAGTACATCTAAACGGTTTACACCATAACAGATTACTACATACATGTCAGACCACAAACCTAATTAAGTTTCTTACCAGAACCGGG